AAGTGCTCGCTCTTTGCCAGAAAGGGGACAAGGCAATGTTTGAAGCTGATAAACTTGGTCATATTTGAAGGGAATCGCGGACGATGCTTTCGATTTGCTGGTCTACACCAAAGTCTGACTATCAATTGCATTATTCAAGAATGCCGTCGAAATGGCAAAAAGCCGTCGTGTGCACTCTCAGTTTTGTCGATTGCCAAACGTGGCGGCTACATCCACCTGCTTCAATTACATTGCCACACCGTCCTTTGAGCAGAGTGTAACGCAAATTGTTCAACAGGAACTTGAAGCAGCAAGTCTAGCATCAGTTCAGCCCTGTCCGTTCAACCATGTCACTATACCGACAACCCCCCACGGTCTCCGTTATTCAGGCAGTCGTACGACAAGGATTCGCCAACCTCGGGTTCCCTGTCGTCTGCTCTGTCTCTCGCCCCTCCTCTAAAGCGATGCATCTCGAAGTGACCCATTCGTTCCTCTACCATCTCGCAACCCCACGGAATGGCAAACTCTCGATGACAAACTGATCTGCTTCCGGTGCCACCGCGTTGGACATGTCTTCGCTACTGCCGTGCCACCTGGACGCTGCCATATAGGAAGCAATTTTTCTCGCCTTCTCACCAATATGAAGATCTTCGCTAGTATTCACCCGGCCATACAGACCCTGCTTTTGACACATGTAACAGCCGTCCCTTTGACGCCTTCGTTTCCCGTCGCCCCAACCACGCCGCCATTCCTCGCTGCCCATCTTTGCATAGTACCCGACGGAACACTGTACTATGCAGCTCCTGGAAGAAGTGTTGCATCATCTGCGTCATACCCAAATTCTCCGTTGACACTTTCTACGAACACGGATCTTATCGATGTGCATGTGGACGGTATTTCTCAGATGGAGCTGGTCCATACTGGCATGCACGTGTTCATAATTAGTGCTGATCTTTGTCGCCACCTAAAAAGTAGTAGTCACGCCTTCTACCACAGAAGCTGTACGTGTCGTTGATGGCGAAACTGTTTTTGTCATCGGAATGCGTACAGTTCCCATAAGCATCACCGACTACTACGCTTCTGTCCTGTTCACGGGGCTCCATAACTGTCCTCATGACCTCATCTGAGGGATGACCTTCCTGTCGACCCATTCTGCTCTGATAGACTGTACGGCTGGTACTCTTTGCTTGGACCTTCCTCTTCAGCCGGATATTCACCTTGAACTTCAACGCGGTTTCTGAGCCACAGATTTCATACACTTACTGCCTAAAGCCCTAACATTCGCCGATTTTGCCACGACTTTATTCGTGTGAGATGGGGACTACATCGTCATGCTGATTCCTCATGTCCTTTTTGCACGGGGCATCACTGACTCTCACTGCATCATCAATATAGCCGCCAACCAGATACATCTCCCCATTATAAATTTTGGCTATACGAAGCAAATCCTGGCTCTGCCGTGGTGGTCTAGCGGCTAAGGTACTCGGCTGCTGACCCGCAGGTCACGGGTTCGAATCCCGGCTGCGGCGGCTGCATTCCCAATGGAGGCGGAAATGTTGTAGGCCCGTGTGCTCAGATTTGGGTGCACGTTAAAGAACCCCAGGTGGTCTAAATTTCCGGAGCCCTCCACTACAGCATCTCTCATAATCATATGGTGGTTTTGGGACGTTAAATCCCACATATCAATCAATCAACGAAACAAATCCTGTGTCGAGGCATCTTCATCACCACGTTGCAATCCTTAGCCAATGGCCACGTCACCACTTTTGCAGGCCCAAATGCTCCAATCTTCCTTGTCGCCCACCCGATACCACACGCCTTGACATGGCATTACGCCCTATGATCACTCCAGACCTCCCCCCAGTGCAAACAGCCACCCTTATCCGCCTTTTGGCTTCCTACCGCGACATCTTCAACCTTGACGATGGATCACTTGGCTAAACTTCTCTGAGGTCTGAACTGGCGCCAATGGTACTGGATTGGAGCCATTCTAGCCTAATGTCAACAGGGATGTGACCGCGTAATCGCCTACACTAGCCATCTTTTTACACCTGGGGGGCACAACTATTTAATCATGGAGGGAGAATGCCTTGCTCTTGTCTGGGTTGTCTACAAGTTCTGTTCATATTTATAAGGCACTCACTTCCTTGTCATCACGGACTACCACGGGCTCTGCGGGCTTTTATCATTAAGTGATCCCACAGATCGACTTGGTCGCTGGGCTCTGTTACTGCAAGAGTACACCTTTGCAGTGACATACAAGTCTGGACGCCTGCATCAGGACGCCGATTGCCTCTTTTGCTATCTGGTTGGCGAGTCGCACACCATCCCTCAGGGCGATGCTTGTGTGTGCTCCGTTTCCCAACTCACTCATGTAGCCCACGAGCAACACCATGATGCATCCCCACTGGCAATTATCGAGCACCTCGAATCCTTACCACCGTACCGATCTCATCTTTTGTTCGTACTGCAGAATGGTTCACTATTACTGCCTTAACTTCCATCCAGATGGCCCATCTCTGCTGCTTGTTATACGCAAACATTTCTGCTCGGCTGTATTCTACGAACTTCACGATGCTCCAACTGCCGGTCACCTCGGCATGAGTTGCATGCACAACCGGATTCGCCGTCGTATCAATCTGCCAGGTCTTGCAAGCTCCGCCAGGAGATACATCGCAACGTGCGATGAATGTCAGCGCCGCAATACACCGTCTACGCTTCTGGCTGGGTGCCTTCAAACCACTCAACATTTCTTCTGAACCCTTCTATCGCATCGGCTTGGACCTACTCAGCCCTTTTCTCCTGTCTTCTGCTGGCAACAGGTGAATAACTGTGGCCACAGACACTACACCATCACACGCGCTTTGCCAACAAGCTGTGCCACATATGTTGCTGATTTCCTTCTGCGCGATGTGATCTTGCAACATAGTGTTCCATGCCAGCTGCTCACGGATTGAGGCCGCACATTTCTATCGAGCGTCATAGTGAACATCCTGCGCTCATGTCAAACGTGGCACAAGCTCACTACGTCATACCATCAGCAAACAGATGGCTTCACCGAGCATCTGAATTGAACCCTAACTGACACGCTTTCAAAGTATGTTTCCTCAGACCACTCTGACTCAGACCTTGCTTTACTGTGCATGACATTTGTGCAGAGTTATTTGATTCGCGCTAAGACACAGCTGGTTATTCTCCATTTTTTCTGTTGTTCGGTTGCGAACCCACACTGCCCCTCAATACAGTCATTCCGGCGCCAGCCACTCCGACCACTGAATATGCCCTGGACACCTTCAGCTGTGCCGCCTATGCATGCAAAGCCACTCCTACTTGCCTTCTGACTTCCTAACAAAACCAATGTTGGCAACAAAACCAGCAATGCACGTTGACCTGTCTGACAAACTGCCCTCTTAGTACACGAGGCCATGTTGAGTGCTTTGTGCAGTGACACTCGTCACTTATGAAATCGCTTCTGCTGCCTCGTCGTATTTATCAATCCTTCAGGCCAGCGACATTGTACATGTCGCACGCCTGAAGAAGTACCACTTGCGCAATGACGTTGAGGTCTAGATGCACCGAGACGGCGCCTTTGCCGACGGGGGTTATGCTACATGTAGCCTGCCGGAATGCATATTGCCGAAACGTGTGTGAGCTCGACGAAGAGGACGAAGGTCGCTTGCTGCTCGAGCTCGGATCCAAACTGACCAGCACTGGAACCGCTCTTGCAAATATATTTTGGGAATAATCTGCAGTGTAAGCAACTGGTTTATCACCTAACACTATTACACAGCCATCTGTGAACAAGTTGATACGGTATGAGACACAAGGAGGTAAAGCATTAATGTAGATTGATCTGTGTGCTACACCTGAGAAAACTAGACACAGGGGAGAGTTGTTACTTGTTGGCAGAGACGAACTAGGTTTGATTTGTTAAAAAAAACAAAAAAAAAACATTCAGACTGTGCAAATAGTTAGAGTCCAAATTCAGTAGCTGTAGCTTATAGTAGAAAAGCAGGTACTATATTCAAATAAAATGATATACACATTCACTTTCAGCATTTAAGTAGTGCACTAAAAATTTGTTACAGGCAGTTTCACTTTAGTTGCATCAGTTCTTGAACTTCTTTAACTGTATTGAAGGAACGACTATTGAAAAGTTGTATAATCCAGCAGATACGTATTATAGCTTTGCTGAAAGGTCAAGTGATTGTCAGTAGCCCTTTTTGTGAAACATTGTTCAGTGTGTGTGAAGTCATTAAATATTACTGAGGTTTGAATGTGGGAAAGCACTGCAGAAGTTTAATTGATGGTCTTGAAAAAATAATTTGTAGTACATTATGCTGTACATTTTATCTCTGTAAGCATAAGTGGCAGTTTTATATTTTTCATGTGTATATTGACTCTCAATTGCACGGACCATATTTTACATGCACACAAAAGTTTCTTTTATTCACTAGACCTAAATTGCAAAAGTAATCACATCTCTGCTAGTCATGTTCATGCAAAAGCGTTTGTTCTTATTTACTGGCTTTTATTTATTTTACCAGTGTCTAAGTGAATAAAAAACATCAAATGTCCCCACAGGGCAAATAGCCAGAGTAAGTGAAATCTCCACCGCAAGAATGGCGTCTTTGGCAGCTCGTCTGATATGTCTTGTCTTGTCTGCAGTCTGTGTGGAACGTGACTGCCACAGAAGAATGGCTGGCTGTCAGAGAAAATGCATTGTCTTCACACATTAGCCCCCATCACTGATAGCAGAGATAGCGTTGAAAGACTGCTGGCCCTGCTAAGATACAGCTGGGATTGGGTTTCTGCCATGCTGACAGACACACTGATAAATTCTTTTGACCAGGGTATGCAGTCATTGTGTGGCAGGTCATTAACGCATTACTGCTGTGTTATCTTGAGTGTATTGAAGTGATGCATCTTCTTTTGGGGCCGTATTGTACTTTGACATTATTTCTAAGGCTATAACATGTCAGTAGAAGAACTGAAAGAAGCGCTCTCACAACTTTTTACAGGGCTTTCACAAACAGGGCATGGAACTGCAAAGCCTGCTGGCCGTTTTGTGCTAGTTGGCTAATTTCTGCGACATCACTTCTAAGACCGTCTTTTTTTATGTCTTTATATTTGGTAAGCAATGTTTTGGTGCTGATTGTAGAGTTTGTAAGCACATTTTAGGCTTCCATAAAACATTGTGGGGTCATAGAGCATCATGTTGTCCTAATGTGTGGCTTTATTTTGTTTTCTTCTTTGCTTCAGGTGCCATGCCTCTGGCTGCTAAGGTGATTCAGTGACCGTCTTGCCTGAGTATTGCGGATGGCCACGGCAGCCATGAACCATGCCCAGCCAAGCTCGGAGCCGGCTTCCTCTGTGGCTCTGGCCTCAACAGTGTGTGTACAAAACGGTGCCGGTGAGCCCCCACTGGACGTGGTGGACATCTTTGTGGATGGTTCCACTGAGGCATCACTGCGAGAAGGCGCGCTTCGGGTTCTCCAGCATGTGCGTCCCTGCTGGGACCTCTCTCTGGTTCAGTTCAAGGTGAACACTCCTCGAGTCTCTTGTCTGTTCAAGCCGCTCCTGTACTTGCATGGTCACAGTTCATCAGTAGCAGAATTATTCATGCATGTGCGAACTCAACGACGAAACAGTCCATTCGTCCACTTAGCACAATGACTGCTATAAAGAAATGAAGGAATAAAGAAAAGGTGTTCTGAATGTAGTGCTTGGGTTCAAACCTGAGCTGTCACACTTTAAAGTGTCTTGAACTTTAAGGTTCCATGCTTCTTTGTATCCCTTACGGTTCGTGAAAAAAGTTAGAAACAAGAACACCACGTGCAAACTACAGGGCCCAGATGCTAAGAATAACTTTGCCTTGTGTATTAAACTTTCTATCGCAAAATGGTTTTTGTATTTCATCTTCCAGGCCTGCGCTGCATGCTTTCTTCGTGAGATGACTGAAATGTCAGTTTTGAACTTTGTCTTTGATGCAGTAGTCTCCTTTTTTTTTCCTGAATTGCATGTACGTGTAGTGATATTTCAGTGACTTTGTATAAGAACAATGTATGCTTTATTGTGCTTTTATTTGCGTACGCCAGTTACTGTATGCTATCACTGCTTGCTGAACTTAACGGGCTAGGAAGCCTAGTCAATCAGCTCGCAGGAGCTTTTTCTTCTCGTGCCCTCTACTTGCTAAAGTGGAAAATAAAATGATCGATTGATTCATTAAATTATGAACATATGTGACCTGCATCAATCCATTGTACTTGCGATAAAAAACGAGTGTTGCTAGTAGAAGGCTTCATTGAATTTCCTGGAGAAGAGTCCTCGCAAGAAATTATGTGAAACCGACAGGGGAAGCTTTACACATATAAAAGTTCAAGCTTTACAAAATTTTTTATGCCGAACACATGTTTTAGTGGCTGTGGGAGGTGCATGCCATGGGATGTTGTCCTATGGCGCGTTCATGAGTGCTAGAGAGAAGCTTATGTTGACAGCTTTTAGAGGGAAGATGGAAGACTCTGTGCCAATGCGTGTTCTAGAGGTGGCTGCTGCGTACAATAAAACATAATGCTTAGACAACTCCCGAGTGAGATTCTGTGTGAATTTTTTTCATAATGATTGCACCTTAACTTTTCAGGGTAAATGTGAGAGCTTTGAGGAGCCAAGGGGTGGAAATAATTCGCATCCATTATTAATACTTTCACAGCTCTGGCTGTGCATACTGTTCAGGTCTTGTGCATAGAATTTGTCAATCATTGTGGGTATAAAAAATAGTTAGGGAAAGTAGTTCAAGATGAGTGGTCAGGCATTCGGAATCGACCTGCAACTTGCATGTGGACAATCCTATGGAAAGCTTGCTGCTTTTCAAGGGATCGACCAGATGCTTAAGAGCAAAACTTGGATCGATCGGATGACCAGATACTTGAATGCTTGGCGTGGCCAAAACTATAAAGGCAAGATTGACTAGATAGAGTAATATGAGCAAACTTAGGAGCAACTACACTTTCCTTTTTGTGGTATACCAGAACAACAGGAGAAATATAAGCAGCAGTCTTGCAGCGCTGGTGCCCTTACCTATGTGGCCCCTTATCCGTTTTAAACATTGAAAAAGCCATGCAGGCTTGACTAGATACGGTAGCATAACAGCATGCATGAATGCACATAGGTGAAAGTTTCTCTTTTGAATATATCACCGACAGATAAAAATCTTACGCATGAGAAAGTAAGAAATAATCCTGGAAAAATACACCGATAATGGTGTGGTACTTTTTGAAGTGTTTGATAGATATGTGGGGTTTAGCATTCCAAAACCACCATATGATTATGAGAGACGCCGTAGTGGAGGGCTCTGGAAGTTTATACCACCTGGGGTTCTTCAGCGTGCACCCAAATCTGAGCACACGGGCCTACAACATTTCCGCCTCCTTCGGAAATGAAGCCGCCGCAGCCGAGATTTTATGAAGTGTTTAACATGAACCGAGTTGTGAAGACATGCTTGACTAGGCACTAATATTGCAAGATAGCGTGACCACACATAAGTAAAGCTTGTCCCTCCTGGAGTAAACTAGACAAAAATCTGGGACCCAGGAGGCAGTAAAAAATAATGTTGCTAGGCTTGCATCCTTAACTATGTGGCCCCATATCAACTTGATATCAACAAAGCTGCAAAGGCACGCTTGACTAGAAAGATAATATTACAAAATAGGACGAGCAATTACCAGAGCAGCTTTAGCCCAGTTAAGGTAATGTAGAAAGACAAAATGTGACCCATGAAAATATTTTTCAAAAGCAGGCTTGACTAGATGCTGTAATGTTACAAAATAGTGTAAAACAAAAGCACTTTTCCTTTTAAAATATCTCAAACAAAATGTTGCACGAGATGAATGATAGCAGTAACATTACAAAATAGCTTGAACAAACCGAACAACAACTTTTCTCTTGTAATATATTAAAGTCTCTTAACATCAGTTTTGTAATGTCAAACTTAATATGATACATAGTATTATATTTACAAGGCACAAACAAGCAGGTGCAAGTTGCCCTTCCGAAGCTATCATAATTCTACAACACATTAGAAAGAAGCGAAAAAAAAAAACAAGATTTGGGATCATATTTGAGCAGTTAGTTCAGGTTTCTGGTGAACATTTGTAGTTGTGTGTGGACGATTCATGTTGTTGCAATACGAACAAGGCAAACAGAGAACCAGTTCACACAAACTTTAATTTAGAGGGCACGTTGAATGCAGGCTTGAGCCGCCTTGCTGAAAAAAAAAAAAACACATTAATTCAAGTTGGCAGAATAAAGCAACAGGCTTCAGTCACCTTAAGCACCAAGGCATATCCAGAGAAAGTCTTGCTAATTTGTCTACAAATTTACAAAGCCTATTTGACTCAATTTGCAACTGCGTTAAGGCCTTAAGAAAACGAAAATAAAATTACTGCATCCGGAGCACTCATGTTTTTGGCGTGATGTGAGGTGAAAGTGCCCGATTCAGTGTCAGACGAAGAAAAATCACTTGCATTACGTTTGCCTGTGATTGATGCGCGAGGCAAACTGAGCGCGTCGGGCGACTGATGGTGCCGAGCAGTTGGGTCACAAAGCAGAACTTTATTCCCTTGCTCTGATGACTTGTTCGCAGCGTGATCGTCGCTGCGACCATTATCACTTGCTTCTATGCAGCTAAGAAGTTCATTATGAACGTCTTCAGCTATTCTTTGACGTTTTTGCCAGATGCCTACTTCAGTCAATGGGCATTTCACCCACTGCAACTTTCGCCCGTGAACTTCACATAAAGTGAAAGCCAGACATGAAAAAAAAAAAAAGCGAACCACAAAATATTCCGCAAGTATCTTCACAATCCTGACATCTAATATATCTTACATACATCTTACATCTTACAAGTGTATATAAACATCCTGTAAGAAATTTACAGGGGATCAACTGCTATCATAGTGCTTCATAAAGAAAGCAACAGAATACCAATCAAGAAGGGTGTAAGGCAGGGGGACACAATCTCCCCAATGTTATTTACCGCGTGCTTACAGGAGGTTTTCAGAAGCCTAGAATGAGAACAGTTAGGGATAAGAGTTAATGGAGAGTTCTTTAGTAACCTGCGCTTTGCCGATGACATTGCATTGCTGAGTAACTCAGGGGACGAATTGCAACTCATGATTACGGAGTTAGAGAAGGAGAACAGAAAGGTGGGTCTCAAAATTAATCTGCAGAAAACGAAAGTAATGTACAGAAACGTTGAAAAAAAGCAGCGCTTCGAGGTAGGTAATAGTGCACTTCAAGTTGTAGAAGACTATGTCTACTTAGGGCAGGTAATAACCGCGGAGCCGACCCACGAGATTGAAGTAACGAGAAGAATAGGAATGGGGTGGAGCACATTTGGCAAGCACTCTCAAATTATGACAGGTAGATTGTCACTATTCCTCAAGAGGAAGGTATATAACAGCTGTATCTTGCCGGTACTAAGCTACGGAGCAGAAACCTGGAGACTTACAAAGAGGGTTCAGCGTAAATTGAGGACGACGCAGCTAGCAATGGAAAGAAAAATGGTAGGTGTAACCTTAAGAGACAAGAAGAGAGCAGAGTGGATTAGGGGACAAACGGGGGTTAAGGATATCATAGATGAAATAAAGAAGAAGAAATGGACATGGGCCGGGCATGTAGCGCGTAGACAGGATAACCGCTGGTCATTAAGGGTAACAAACTGGATTCCTAGAGAAGGGAAGCAGGTTAGAGGGAGACAGAAGGTTAGGTTGGCAGATGAGATTAAGAAGTTTGCGGGTATAAATTGGCAGCAGCGAGCACAGGATCGGGTTAACTGGCGAAACATGGGAGAGGCCTTTGTCCTGCAGTGGACGTAGTCAGGCTGATGATGATGATGATGATGATGGTGACACACTTCCGAAAAAGACTCACCGTTCTTCTCTCAAGACAGTATTTGTGTAGTCTCCAGCTGAGCGCCACAAAGAGCTGGCACTGTGACAGCGCACACAACATTACGCAGGAAACTTTACGTGCGGCCATTAGCGATGTCAGTAGCCGTAGGGCTGCTGCTGATCCACAAAGGCTTTGCTTTGGGTTTTGGTTTCCCTTGTCCCTGCAGCACCATAGTACTGCGCCAGAACCAACGCGTCAGTGGGATAAGTTGTGAAAGTACATATATATATGTGATGTGCTGTGTACATGTACTATGGGTGTGCTTTCATTACAGGCAGCAGTGCAGCGATGGCATAATTATTTGAGGCAAGCAATGGAGCAATGTTTTAAATTTATTTGTGCATGTCACAGAAATAAGGCTTTGCAGGAAGTAACACTACGGTCTCTAGAATAACTGGCTAGTCTGCCGTCTCCGCGTCGTCCTCATGCAAGATCGTGTCCGTGCTGCTCGTGCATGCGCAGAGGGCACTGCAATCTATTGGAGCGCCTACTTGGTACATGCAGCGCAGGCCGTGGAGGAGGCATCGGTGGGGCATGGCACCCTGTCGTACATTTCGCACTTTCGCATGAACTACACGTTTTCGTTAATT